TATATATATATACAGTAATGTTAATGGACAATTGCTAATTTCTATTTTGTTTTAACATCTTAGGTTACCAACTTGTCATTGTTTGTAACCGAGAAAGAGAAGACCAGTCGCGGATGGTCACAGCTTTAAATTCTGACCGTATTTCATCTGATAAACCAACTTGCCGGAAAAAGCAGGACATTCAAGAATACCTACGTACACAATTCATTCAACAAATAATTAATCGCAGGTCTGACATTTTTCAACATTATATTTTGTAATTCATATTTACCTATAGACACCAACCAATACTTATCTACCTACCACTGAAATCAGAACATCTCGCATGTGAAAAAACTTTAGCTTTATTCTAAATATTTCTGTTAACTATTTCAGAACATGTGTGCAAGCTATTTCCTCCAAAAGACCAGGTGTTGGAAAATCACTGCTTATTCAAAGGTACAAGGAAAAACTTCAGAGAGATGTCAGGCGCCCAGACTGCTGTATTACTGTTCCTTTGCAGACAACAACTGTCCAAGAGCATGACATTGCAAAGACACTGATCAGTCAGATGCAGGAAATGAATTGCCGTTTTCCACGAATTGTTCACCTAGATGTTTCACCAAATGTGTGTTGCAAGTTCTTGATTTTTTTCCCTTTAGATTTTTTTCTCTTTAGATAACATTTTGGTAGAAGCACATGAAAAAACATTGATGATAAAAGTAAAAAATAAAAATTTGAAAATCAGAGGAGAGAACATATACTATACATTACTATATTAAAAAATGTACAGTTAATAACCACATGGTTGCAACATGGCAAACACAGACATGCATGACCTTGTAGATAATTGCAGAATCTTCAACAAGATGAAGGTGACAACTTAACGGAAGGAGAAATTTTTTATGTATCTTTGCAACTGATTTCATTTCCTAAATATCTTTTTTAATCTTGGAATTTTATTTTTTCCTCTGGGATAGTTTAAATTTAATTCTCTGTTTAGAAAGATATTTTATTTTCATTTCACATTTCAATTTTTTTTAGGTGTATAACGGGTTAGATCACCTTCTCTTCAATCTTCTCATTTTGAACACAATTTGCTGCCCTGATGGATTGGTGTGGCGAAGGCATTTCTATGACCTCTATTTAATAGAGGTCACTCATGCTGGTGAAGTCAAGGTTGAAGATACCAAGGTTGATTCACATGCTTATTTTATATATTTCCAACAAATGTATCTTCTAGCACAACTTACACTCTCTATACAGATGGATATAACTAATAAAATATAACTAAATAAAATTGTGTAAATTAAAAAGCGCAGTTGGCTTTTTCGGTTGCGCCTGGAAAATATAAAATATAATTTGCATTTTACTTTTGATCAGCACCAAATTCAAGGAGGACCGAGATACATGTAACATTATCAATGTGTGAAATTTTGAAGTAGAACGGTCCAGTCAAGTTTTTGAGTTAAGTGCCCGGAAGGACACAGACAGACATACACAGACACATGCTTTTGCAATTCCCTTTAACGTGAGGGTAATAATAGTTATTTCACATGCAAGTGAGGATCGCTAATGTTTTTATGTTACTTAACATTTCAGAGTGAGGGAAGGTCCAGCAAAGATACTTTCTTTGAGAGTCTTCCAACGGTGTTATGTCGACCACCAAAAGAGACACATAAAAAAGAAGTTGAAAAATCTCAACAACAATTACCAGGTAATAAATATGTACAGGCAAACTCGCCTCTAAAGTGCCACTGAAATTCGACTGGATTAAATTCGACTAAAGCAAAGTCAAAATTTTATTCAAGTTATATCACAATAGCAACTTGACTTGGAGAGTTAGGCCTTACGGAGACCCGTACAAATCATTGCAGGTCGAGATCCATGGCTAAATGGAAAAAAAGGATTAGCTTTATCTGGTGATTAATCTCTTAGGTTTTCACACCTACACATAAGCAACCTATGACTGATGCACATTTATTTTATAATGTTATGCCATAAATTATATAGTGGGCTACAAATAATGTTTTATTTCATGATTTTGAACATTTTCACGCTTTTCCTGTTATAATTGGCCAAGTACTTATGAAGATATGATATTAATCATTGTTTTTGGTAAGGTTTTGGTCAGCTATTCAATATAATACCCTACACCCCTCTGCTGATAACCATTCAAGCAAGGCCTGACTTATCAGCTAGAAAGAGAAACGTGGTACGAAATGAATAGAAACGCGTTCATGAAGTTGTACGATGTTTTGAGGCGATAGGTCTAAGCCTAGGTATTTTTACACAGTTTTGAAGAAGATGGAATTGTTTAATTAAGGAAAGTGTTCGTTCTGATTGACACTTTTTAACCAGAATAGCAATGGGTCAAAACAGCAATGAACCAAAAGAAAAAAAATAATAATAATAATACTAATATTGGGCGAAACACAATATAGAAGCAGTAGACATTTAAATAATTTAAAATTGAAAATAGTGATAAAATGATAATAAGAAGAAATAGGCCTTAAAACAATATCACAAAATACAAATTGAACTAGATTTGAACTCGTCACTGAAGACAAGTTAGGTGATCCGCCGCACTTTGACCCACGAGGAAGTGTGCACGGTGCGGATTGAACAATATTTAAATGCTGATAATGGCAAAATACGCTAATTTAGTTTGTTAAAAAAGAATTTTGAGCATTTTAAAAGATTTACTCATGCGTACGCGCACGTCATGACGCACGTGCGCACGTCATGACGCACATGCGCATCTTAATGTCACTGTTGTCTCCTGATATGAGATATATATGTATCAACTTTCATTGACAAAAGCCTGTTGGTGAAGGAGTAATGATCATTCATAGTATTTATCATATATAAAAATTCAGTTTTTTTACTTTAGATGGCAATATGGTGACGTCACAATGTCCGATCAGCTATTATGATATATAAAATCATATCTACAACTCATGTGCTTTTAGAATATGTAATAAAAATTGGGGGTCACCTTTCATCCTAAGGAGCTATATTTGATTATAAATAGGCATAATTATAAGCATATGTAATTTTTGACGCGCGCGTATGCGCACGTTAAGACGCGCAAACAAAAAAGTAAGATACCTAACATTACACCTTGACCTGAAGTTTAAGCCCATTTAATATTATTCAGAAATGACGAATGTTTAAGATGATATGACGTCATCAACGTTTTGAGAAAAGAAATAATTTAAAAAAAAATTCAGATGGCAATATGATGACGTAACAATGTCCGATCAGCTATTATGATATATAAAATCATATCTACAGCTCATGTGCTTTCAGAATATTTAATAAAAGTTAGGGGTCACGTTTCATCCTAAGGAGCTATAACTGATTTTTAAAAAGACATGATATAAAGCATATATTAATTTTGACGCATGCAAACGCTCGCATTATTACGCGCACAAAAATATAATGTACATAACATTTAACCATGACCTGAAGTTTATACCCACTGGGGCCATCAAAGGCTTGACGAAAGAAAGATGAGGGGGTAAGCAAAACCCTATTTTTTTACCATGATGACGTCATCAAAATGTAAAAAAATACCGCTATGCAATGTAAACAAAAGTCACTGTCGGGCTTACAGCAATTTGGTAAAGCAGCGACAGCTTAAAATGATTGAAGTTTTACGTCAAGATTTTGACTTTGACTTACGGACTAACAATTAATGGAAACAGATCAACTTGGCATGTAAAATATGTTAAACTTTTGTATTTATTTGACTTAAATTTATTTGAGTTAGAGCAAATGTTAACCATTGTAAATATACATACAGTAGGGAAGATGGACTGACATGAAATAATTTCGACTTAGGCACATTCGAGTTAAGCGATTTTGACTGTATATCGTATATTAGGCATCTGGTTGGTTTTAAGTGCATGTATAACCTGACTACTTTTACATTAACTCTGCTGTCAGCATAGCTGCGATCTCTGTGTATCTATGGAGAGTGAAATGTTGTCAGAGCGAGGATACACTGGGGTCCTTCAATGAAATATTCATGAAAATAGATAAGCTTGCCTGCAAATCAGCCTCCTCTTTCTATTTACAATTTTAATGCAAGTCTTGATAAAAGTGCTATTGTTGTATCATGTATATATTAACTATGTATGTCAGTTGGTTTATAACAACATGAATATTTTCATATTTATCAGAAGGGTTTCAAGACCCCTTGATGGATGACCTAGAGTTCAGAAGTTCAAGGTTTCAGCGACCTTACCAGTACCTTGCGGGACTTGACCAAAATGCCCTTCTAGATGCTTTCAAATTCAATAGGCGTCAATTACATGGAAATCATGTTGACTGCTTGGCAACACTTTTAAGGTAAAAGAGAATAGTGATAATGAATGTATACATGTCCAAAGAAGCCCTTAATCTTCCTTTTATTTGAGGACACTTTTATTGTCTATTCAAAATGAACTCTTTCTTCAAATGAGGCTTCTCTTTGAGATCTTGTCAAGTATTTTTTCTAAAAATACAAACCTGAAGTGCATCTCAAGTAGAAAAGATACAGTAGGCTATTAGATATTTAGCAAGGCTACAAAATTGGGATATTAAATATGCAATATTCCCATACCTACAAGTTTATCATGCACTCTACTATTGTAAAGCTTAAGTATATAATAATTTCTTTTATGTGCAGGCATTGTGGCCTTCCGGATCCTTCATGGTCAGAGTTGTCTCATTTTGCTTGTTTTCTCGACAAGCAATTAGAAGCCTGCGAGGGCTCTGTCTTCTGCGACTTAGCTATGCTGGCTGACACTGGATTGGATGGATTTAAAACATTTGTTGTCAAATTCATGTTGCAGATGTCAAAGGTCAGAGTTCTTTCATCTATTATTCCTACTAAAATGTTTACATGAAGCCTATTAGATAGTCGCAGTAGATACAAACCACCTCTACAAATAAGTTTTTTGAAATATTGTACTGTATATTTTTTAAGTCTTTAATGTTCATTTGATTTTTAAGTACAATTTGTTTTTTTATTTATTTCATACTGTATTATTTGTGTAGTTAAACATCAAGTAACTAATTTTCGTGTTTGCCTTGTTTTATGATTATGACAACAAAGTATATCTTATCTTTTCTTAAATATCTAAGTTAACATTTCAAGTTTTATTACTAATCATTTGTGATATTATTGACCAGTGTCCCAAACCCAATTCCAGGTTATACAAAATGCAATTACAAAGATATTAATATATTTATGGTTTGTCAATTTTTCAGGATTTTGCTACTCCATCACTACAAATGAGTGATGAAAGTTTTCGCATAAATGATGACGAAGTAGATGAAGACATTCCAATCCAACTCCGCAGACATTGGGAAAGCAGGTAAGGATATAAATTACACCTAGTGATATCTATAGATAAACTGATGGTTGCTAAATATTTTTGAATTAGAATTTGGAATTAACAGAATTATACTTCTCAAGTAGGCTACTACATATAGTTTCTCCAACCTTCATTGAAAGCAGTGACACAAATATTTTGCATCCTAGTTTTTATATTCTTAAATGTTTGTATAATTTTGATGTTTTTGATGATTAAAGAATTGTTTTGATTTGAATAATTTATATCCTGTTTTTTAGCCCACATCCGTATATCTTCTTTAACCGTGACCGTCAGACAATGACATTCATGGGGTTCAGTATCGATCGTAACGGAACACTCCTTGATGTAGATGGCCGTGTGCTGCAACAAAATGTGATGACAAAGAGCCTGATGAGAGGGCTTGACCTTCAAAGGGTCAATCTGTCAGAAGATTTTGATTCTTTGCCAAGGTAAGTTCACAGTGAACTAGTTATGGATTTGTTAAATGATTTGCAAGTCTGGAAATACCTTTTGAAAATGTGTATTATACCATTGCAATTGTATTAAAATTATATTGGTGATTGTTGTTAACAATTTTAATCCACAAGGGATGAGAAGCTGCGGAAGTTGTGTATGGTGATGGGAATCGAGAATGTCAGTAATCCAGACGACACGTACGAGCTGACTACAGATAATGTTAAGAAGATCTTGGCTATCCACATGCGATTTAGGTAACATAATTTACTTCAGAATTTTTCTCTTTATTTGATTACAAATATTAAACATTTATGTAGTGGAAACGGTTTTGGGAAATACACCAAGGATAACAGGAAAGCAAAGACCAGTAGATTAAAAATATCATCATCTGAATTGCACTTTGGAATGTGTATTGCAGCCCTCCAGCTGAAATGCAAGGAGAGCAACAAATGGAATTGAACTGAAGACCACGGTTATGTATATGATCTCCATGGTTCAATGCACATACGGTTTAGCTGGAAGCTGCTCTAACTAATATTTAGGCTATGTTCACACACACGGCATAAGGCTGGCTTAAGCATGGTGTAGCGTACGCCTTTGTGTGTGAACTAGGCAGTGGCGTTGTTAAAGCCACTCACTACGCCACGTCCTTGGCGTTATTAACGCTACCTGCAGACCCCAGATTAGCTAACGCCACTGAGCTAACGCCAGTGATGCTTGAATGATTTGACCTCATTTCAAGAGATTGACCAAGCATGATTGCAATATATTAGCAACTTTGGTCTCTTTCCTGTGCTCTCTATAAATGAAATGGTAAAGGGGTTCTTTTTCTATTGCATATCTTACTTAGTTATAATGTATATGATTTGTTGATTGT